TTTATCAATCCATTTAAGGTTTTCCTTTTAGCACACAGAGCAGTTTATATGAGAAACTAAGTTAAATTTTTGTAAGAAAGTATATATTTAGGCATTTAATATTTATTCTAAAATAAATAACATTAACAAATATAACATATAAATAACATTAAAAAATTTGATTTTTTAAACATTTGCAAACATACATAATTTTTTTAAACATTTTATAAAGATACATAATTTTTTAAACATTTCATAAACGTTTTATAACATAATGCAGATTATTAGTAAATGAATTTTTTTGTTATGGTGATATTAAAAATTCTTTTATAAAGGTCACTTTAAGTTAACTGACTTCAGTCTCCTATCTGGACAGAGCTCCAATTTTGAACATTTCATGCCTCCTCAAATGGTAACAGTTTCGTATTTGATACTGCTTGAAATTTTACCATTCACTAACGGAAACAAATCTAGTTTTCAAGCAAAAACAGTATATTGTAGGAAATAAGTGAGTGATGTAAATGTCATAATTTAAAATATAACTAAGAAAAAGAAAAAAATCTGAAAGCTTTCAGATTTTACATTACGCCCAAAGGAGAGTTCTTTCAACGTTTTATGTGTTACATATATTTACTAAATATCATGTTCTTCGCACTAGAACCATAAAATTCATTCCAACAGCAGTATCGCAAAATATTCAAAAGAGCATAGCTTTAGAATTTCCGATGAACAGACTGGCGCGTTGGAGTTAAATTTTTTTTTTCCACCTGTACAGTGCTGCTATTGCTCGCTTTGAAATCGTAGAGTGTCTTAATCAAACGCCCATAAATCACTTACAAAATATTAAAAAAAAAAATCCAAATTTGGGCTTCAAGATGTCCATATGCGGGGTGAGACGTACGTTATTCAAAATTTGATGGCTCTAGGTACCGTTGTTTATCAGTCGAGAATATACGTACATTGAAGCATTCTCATATTAATTTTTAAAATAATATAGGACGATATATTGGGGCAATAATTCAAAAGCGATTCCTTTATATTAATAGCCGCAAAGCCAAAGAATTTCGCCTTGCTTTGCTAATAAAAACATGAATCTGACGCTTTAGATTACACTAGCCCAAAACGGCGCTTTTTAACGTTTGGTGTTGCTTATTTATAAATATCACGTACTCGCACAAAATCATAAAATTCCCTTAAACACAATATCGCAAAATAATTTTAAAAATGAGCATATCGTTAGAATTTCTGATACACAGTCTCGCGCGCTGGAGATAAAAATGTTTTTTTATCGAACAATGTTGCCATTGCTCGCTTTGAAGTAGTTGAGTTTGTTAATCAAAATTTCGTTAAAGTGTTACAAAATATGGAATTCGTAATAAAATAAATTCCATATTCTAAATTCGGGCTTCCAGATGCCCATATTCGGTGGAGGATTACGCTATTCAAAACTGGATGGCTCTAGGTACCGTTGTTTTATCCCTATGCGAGAAACATACGTACATATGTGTAAATTCTTAATTATTTAAATTCTCTAAATATAACACAGGGCGATAATATTTGATGGCAACAATTTGAAAAGGGAAACGACGTTTATAGTGAACCAACGCAAAATGCCCATCTGGGCTAATAATTTTCTTTTAATGTAAATTTTAATTGATAAGTAATAAATTAGCGTAATATATGAAAATATTGCTTTTTGATAAGCAGCCATATCATACATTTATTTCTAAATTTCGAAAATTCTACTAAACTTTCTATACCAATATGCGTTTTAAAACACGGCACTACAAAATACTGCTCGGTAAAATTTGTTTACGACGTTCTCTCAAAATTGGAATAATATAAAATATGATAAAATGTATAGAATGTGCCCTGCTTTAGAAGCTTTTTATGAGGTAAGCACACTCTTATTTTGAAACTGTATTGCTTTTATAAATGTCGTAGAATAAACAAATCTCGTATCAACCTCCGCATTTTGTTATTTATTTTCTTACAGAAATGGCTATCATTTCATCAAATATCCGAGCATCAAATCAAAATAAAATTTATCTTACCATCCCTCTAAAGTTCATATTCAAAAAGAGAATAATATTTATTTTCGCTGTAATGTATAGGGCTTTTCTTTTTCTTTCAAAAATGTTTTTCATTCCTTGGCATTTTTTTTTAAACAAATACTTTTGCGGTTCTTCCTGGAGCAGCCAGGAAATAATTTCTTTCTTTGATTCCTACGTTTGTCAGACATCACGAAGATTCTTCACACGGATGGGAAGTTGAAACCTGAAGGAAGAGGCTCTGTGCTTTTGTTAAGATCTCAAAATTTTCTTTTCCTACTGAAATGCAGAACGTATCAAAAGCGAATAAATAGGGGATCCAGCCACAAGTACAGAATTTGTTTCAAGTATTGCGAAACATCAAACAAATATTTCTACGAGACGTGAAACTTTTCGCGGTACATATTTCAAAATCTAAACATAGTCACTCACTTAATTGCCTCAAAAACCACCGTGATGATAATCTACATAAAATTCACCTGAAAATGTTTTAGACTGTTATAAGCTGTTTTGCTTTTGGAATGAATTCGTTTTCGAATTTAGACGTGATGATGTTCCATGAACGATTCATCCGGAAATATTGTTTTCTTACCATCTAGAAAGCTCCTTAGCGTTTACAAGGAGCAGGGTATCGACTTTAGACAAATTTATTTCACTAATTGTGTCAAAAGGAATTGTGTTCTATGGAAAATTCATCTGGAAATATTTCCCTACATTGTAAATAAGTTTAGTAACTCTTGGAAGGTTTCAATTTCGAATTTAGGCATATTCTATCCTACTAATTTTTCGGAAAGCACTGGTGATATTCTATGGAACATTCAATTGAAAATATTTCCTTATAACATAAGCTGTCTTGACTTTTGGAAGAAACTCGTTCCCGAATTTAGACATATTTGTTCTACTAAGCCCTGATAATGTTCATCGGAAGATTTATATGGAAATATTTCGTTAGCTTGTAATAAGTTCTACAGCTTTTCGAAAGTTTTTTCCTCCGAATTTAACATATTTATTCCATTAATTGATATTCCATTATACGATCGTATTGATAATATTCAACGGAATGTTTATTTGAAAATATTAGATATTTTCTTAGACAATAGATATTTTCTAAGTCTGTAGCTTTTGAAAGGAGCTGTTTTTATGAATGGTGTTGGATTTTAAAATAAATTCTACCCTGAGAAGAACTATATAAAAATGCGATTATTTATGTGCTTTTTTAATACCAAATTAAGAGAGAATTAGAAAATTATCATCATATGCACTTATTTTAGTCACTAGATGTATTGAGTTAAATTATCAATATTTTGTTACTTCTTACTCTTTGTGTATTGGCTTACTCAAAGGTTCTTTCTTTTGTTTGTTTTCTTTGCCAAAAAATAAGAGGAATGTAATTTATTTTGCTGTAGAGTCATTAGGTTGTTTTGAAAACAGGAGATGTGAAAAACGAGCAGTGCCCTCGCAGGAACTCGAACCACTGACCTCTCGAATATGCGCCAAGGGTTTAAAAGAGCGACTGAGGATTAGGGGACCCAATCGCCAAATCCCGGTAATGGAGAATTATCATCCACCACCTTTTTTAGTTCGGGCGTCACTGTAGAGGTATTACGTTATTTCGAAGCAGGAGAGATTAAAAATAAGCAATGTCCTCGTCGGGACTCGAACCATGGACCTATCGAATACGCACTGAATGTGCTGACCACTACACCACGAAGCCATGCTAAGAAGACGGGATAAATACCTTATATACTAGTTAAAAGAATGGAATTTAAATGTTGGTGAGGTAGAGTGTTGATCTATTTTTTCCGCAACGATTGTGTTCTCGTATATGTCGATCGCCGCCCAGGCCCCAAATGAAATTCCATAAAAATAATATTTTTGATTCCCACATTCTTTGTTTCTCGGAAGTATGGTTTTTCCCTAATAGTCGGTTATAAATCAACTTTCAATTACGCCATGTTTCATTCGAAAAAAGAAATAAGTAAAGTGAAGTACTTATTAAAATTTGCGGTATCTTAGTACTATAAATCTGGTAACACAGGGATGATGCTACATATCGCTCAGAGGAATTCTAGGAAGAGTATCGCTGATTTCTTCAGTTTCCTAGTTCGGAAACAAAATGTAATAGATTCTACTAGTGACTCCCCGAAAAACTAAAATCTAGTGAAAAATAATTCCGCACCAGCTGTATATGGTTACTGATTTCTCGGCCCCAAATAGTCCCTTATGTGGGAGAGACTGTAAGAAATTTTCTTCTTCCTAACCTCGTGCGCTCATGATGTAAGCAATAGCACATCCGGGTAGCACTTGGAAATATCCGGAGTTCAAATCCCGAGAAGGCTTCGCAGATTTCTTTAGTCCCAGGGACTAAAAAATTAAAATCGCCCAACAGCAGCGCCGGACTAAAACATGCACATAATAATTCGTCACACCACCTGGATTTCGCAACTACGCCGTTTTTCTCCACAGTTGTCTTTTAAGTGGTACAGAATATAAGGAATTTTCTCCTTCCACCGCATGTCCTTTGTATTTTGAAGCAAATCTGGCTACCAAGTCAGTGGTTTGGAGTTCGAGTCCCGGCGAGGGTATTTATTTTTCGTGTTTTGTGCTTTGAAAAGCCTATTGTATTCTACAGGTGTACAACTTTTTTGTTTAAAGCTTGTTTTTCTTTTAATTCGATATACTCATTGTTGAAAATTTATGTACACAGCATAACATTTTCTCGGTTATTTTGTTTTCATTTTATTGTTTCTTTTTCCTTTTTTCACTATATTATGCATGAATTTTTAATTTAAATAGGTGTCTCAAATATTTGTGATGTGTGCATGTATATATCTGTAATTAATAAACCATTTCTCAATCTGACATATAATTAATATTTTAGGATAATTAATTTATTTACTTCTTTTAATTTTATTGAAAAATGCTGAATTCTCGAAAGTATTTAAAAAATATTTTTTCCTTCTCTTTTAGGTAAGAATTCAGTCACATATTGTAAAATGATGTCAAAACCACTCCATAGCTGTGTTTCCTCCAAATTCTGTCTTGCATATTATACTACGTGTAATGTAAGTATTTTACACTATCGTCATAAAAGCAACATGCAATTTTTCCCCTCTTTCTGTCGGGTGGAGTTTTGATAGCCTCGCATGGCAAATAGGAATAAAAAGATTTTATGATCAGATGATTTTTTCCATGTGATTTTAGTTGTTACATGACAGCAGAACGTAAAACAGTGAGTCATTACTAGCACTTCCATAACAAATTCTTTGTTGTAAGGCATATAAATTTGGAGAGAAATCTACCACCTCTTGTTATTTGCAAAGGTAATTTCAACATGTAAAAAAATAATAATAGTTGATTGTTCTAAATATACGCCGTTGCATTTGGATTATTAAATTGCAAACATATTAGTAGTACAATATTATTTATATACATACTGTAACTATGCAAAATTTCTGCTAAATTAATTACATTTTAAAAGGCAGAATTTTCAAAAAAGGTTTTCAATTTTAACTTATAAGGTATTTCTCCCATTTCCCTAGCGTGCCTTCGTTGTAACGGTAGCACGCTGGGCCGGTATTCCAGAGGTCCGTAGTTCGATTCCCGGCGAAGGCGATTGCATATTTTCCATCTTTTCTGCTTCCAATTAACCTAATGACTCTACAAACTGATTGGTTAAATATGGCAAATTGTAGGCAGTCTCCTTTTGCGTTGACCAGAGTTTTTGTGTGTAAAATTGTAGCAGAAACTTCATACTATAGTATTCATCGGTATGAACTGCTTTAAAAACTCCCTTTGTTAAGCATGTAGAACCAACCATCCATATAAATCAACCATTGTTTCGATTTTTTGTCCTTATTATAAAGTACTATAGCAATAGGGTACTTCCTTATTAAAGTTGTTTCATTGGTCAGTCGCCAAAACTGGACGATTTTTTCCCAGATTTGGCAAACTTGACGTATTTGATTTTCAAACTGTTTTAATTACGAAGTGCTCCACGTGACATTATCGTTTCATTAATTTTCCTCTTCTAAAATATTTGTCATTTTCAATTTATAATCAGTTGGAAAAGAAACAATAGTTGTACCTTTTATAACATGCATCATATTTAATTTTCACGGATCGCTGTAGACCGCACCATATCGTTCCTTTAATATTTTTTCCCACTAAAATATTGACCATTTTTATCTTTAAGTGGAAAATAAGTGGTAGTTTCTTCGTGATATCATTCATTTTTCCACATTTTTTTTCCTCTAAAATTTTTAACCGTACTTAATTGACCATTCATTACCTGAAAGAAAAAGAAGCAGTTTTTTTTTTTTTTTTTTTTTTTTTTTTTTCCCAAGACCACGGAATTTTGAATGTACAGCGAAAGTGCAGAAATGGCTGCTAATTTTTCAGAATTTGGAATCCAAGGGAAAATCTGCAGGGAAGGGGGAATACCTATGTGCTGATAATTTGTTTTATGATTCCGGGATTCCCTTTCTTGCTGCTTTCTGCTTCATATACTCTTAGGCTGAAGAACTAACTTTTATCAGATGGTATAGTATACAGTGAGCATAGATGAAAATCGGAAAGAAATCAATATTTGATACTATAAAAGCAGCATCTTAGGAACTATGGCTTCCACAAAGAAAAATAAATATTATTTTCCTCCGTGCCTTGTAGCCTATAAATTTTTGAAGATTATCATGTTGTTTTTCTATTTTTTGCCAAACTAATTTTAACTGTTGCCAAATTTCGCTAAAGAATTTAACAAGGAAGCATCGGGATAATCTATATAAAATCTGACATTCCTACTAAAAGATAATAATTAGATTGTACGCTTTTCTGCGCGTAGCTGCTAAGTTAAAATCAGGCTCATATTTGAGCATCGAACAGCTCTTATTTTTGATAAATAGTTGCATTGTTTTAATCAGTCTGACATTGAATGGATGTAACATCTTAATCGGAAGCTGAGAAAAGTTTCTTGGAATTTAAGGTATGCTGATCTGATCAAGAAGTGTACAGTCTTGTGTATTAGTTAGGTATTCGTTCAATGGATTGTGTATATTGTTACATATTCGCTCGATCTTTCTAAATAGAGCTAGACAATCAGCTCTGGAACTGATTCAAAGAAATCGATTCTCTTTTCTGACCAAATAAACAGTTGATTCCAAAAAAACGAAATGGTGGCTCTTTTCACGGCGAGCTATTGTTGGAAGCGTGCCAGAATCAGAGTTCTGCTATTCGTTCATGAATTGTTTCACTTAACTAAACGAGTGAACGTCTGATTCTCCAAAAGTGAGCAGAGCTCTTGTTGGAAACGTTGCAGGAAAGTTCAATTTCCATTTTAGAGGAGGAAAGAATGTGAGTTTAAGTTTTACCATTGCGCAAATTTTTGAAACTTTTTGTATTCTAGAATTTTATTGTTACTTCTATGTAGAAATACGGCTTTAGGGAATCCCAAAACTACAGTTGAAAGAAATCAGTTCAAGAAGTTATCGTTTGATCGAGTTGACTCTTACGATTCCGCCGCTCATTCAATTCTTTTCGCTCTTCGTTCCAGCCTGGTTAACCGTTCCCGATTCCACTGTTCGTTCAATTCTTTCCGCTCTTCTCTCCATCCTTGCTAGCTTCTCTTGATCCACTCCTCGTTTCCGATGTTTTTATCAAGGTCATTGTTGGTGAGCGGTGACTCATAAAAAAGAAATGATTTATTTCAGTGAGTTAAGGGCTGAGATTCGAAAGAGCGGTTTTGCTCATTTCTACTTTTCCAATCCACTCGTGCACTTAACATACTTCTTCAAGAAATTCTTGAAATGAGCTGGACGTTTCCCACGATTTGTTAGTTGTAAAATAATCAAAGAATCATTGGGAAATGTGTGGAGTCGTTAGGTTATTTTATGTTGGAGATGTGAAAAATGAGCAGGGACTCGTACCTGGACCTCCCGAATACGCGCCGAGTGTGCAACCGTTACATCACGAAGGCATGTTGGAAAGAGGGAGAAAATACCTTATAAATGTTTTCTCTGAAATTCTAGGAAGATATCCGAAAATTACTCGGCTCGTTCGACCCCCTTGCCAACCAGTTTTTCACTTTCCTAATATCTTGTTTTTCACCATATGCTTTCATATATCATATATGGTATGAAAATATATATCATATGTGGTTTTCATCATACGCTTAATTGTCTAATCATGTTGGGTAATGGCAATTAATTATCAACAGAACCTTTTCTTGTAGCGTTTTCCACCTGCTCATAGGCTTCTGTATTTCTCAAGATTCTTTGATTGGTTTGGTTTATTTAATTATGGCAAAGCACACTAGGGCTATCTGCCTAAGGGGAGGGATGCCTTAGTAGAGGACTTTCTAAGGGAACGGGCTCGTATACACGTTACACATGGGGAAAACCACGAAAACGTCCATGCAGCCAGCCCGTTCGGGGGATTCGAACCTCGGACCGAACTACCAGTGTCAGCGACTTTACCGCTCGGCCGCTGGTGGGCCCCGAGATTCTTCGAAGTAGAACTTTGTGTTCATGTGTCAACATAGCAGAGTATATGCTTTTATTTCAATACAGGTTTGCAAGGATTTCGATAATTACTTGTTATACAGAAAAATAATACTTTATATAATTTTTAAAGTCTTCCATTGTCAAATGCTTATTTTAACATAAATGTTTCTGTAATTACAAGCCATTACATTTTGAAAAGCTAATTGAATGCATTATTAGAAATCATAATAAATTTATATTCTTGCTTAAGGAATATAATCCATAAGTATTGTACTTATATAAATATAAAAAATATCATTTCATTTCATTACATTAATGTAACAAGCTGAAGCACACGCTAATGCAACTTTAAATGCGACTAAGACGAACCGAATGCCAAAATAATACTTTAATATTTGAAGGGAACAAATCATAATTACTGCTTACTAACCAATTGAAGTTTTAATACACAAGTTTCCAAAAACTTTTATAATGAAATACCTGAATTCATAGTTGCAGAAGTAGAGTATGCTGTGGTAGCAATTTTCTTCTGATGGCCTGTCATGTTAATCCGTATGGATAGCGAAGCTCACAACAACGTAGTAGCTAATGATAGATGTTTAAGTAATAACAGTTAATAATAGGTTTTAAATATTCTCCTCCCTTACGTCATCGGTCATTTCTGAGTAATTATTTTACATTTTCGGATATACCGTCATAATTAAGGGAAAGAAATGTTATGGTGGTTTAGTTAGAAATAATAATAATTGCAATCCGCTACCATTTTGTGATATCGGAAAATTTTTTTAAAATTATAATTACTATGAGCATCTATTCATTCGTCATAAGTACTGAAGAAATGATTTCGGAATTTTAATTTACTGTAATTTATTAAAAGTTTTGATGAATTATCTATAGAACAGACGCTTATTAAAATGCGCTATCTTCAGCGCAATATTTTATATGCTGAATCTTATACGGTTCAAGTAAAATGCAGTAATAAAGCTCTCGAAATGAATTAAATCTTTTTGGCTACTTAAAGACCTCAGTAAAAGAAAGTTCTTATATAACTTGTTCTTATGCCGAAAGGAATCTATAGTCGCAGAATATTCTACAAATAATATGTGATCGAAGAGCTTGTAGGGTTACTATTTAAATCAACTGGTAATTATGATTAGATCTTTACTTTAACTTCTCCTTTCCGTTTTCCTCAACGGAATGTAAATCAATTAGCTCTGTATATATACATCACCACGGACGGAGGCTGATATTGTTAGCACAAAAAAGCATTTATGCTCGAAATTCTCTTTAAATGAAAAGGTTGTTTAAACCTTTCCATCGCTTTGTAACTAATTTCAAACACTGCGATAATTCTTCATGTCTATGTAGGGTTTCTGGACTTAATTACCAGTTCTAGATCAAGTAAAACTCCATAAATTTTCCAAAATAAAAAAAAATTCTGAAACCCTTCAGATTTTACGTTGACGCCCGAAGATGCGTTTTTTTAACGTTTTGTGTGCTATCTTTATTTTTCAAATATCATGTTCTTCGCACTTAAACATTCAATTCAACACCAATATCGCAAAATA